ATATATATATAATTTTAATTGAACACCTTAATTTATATTTTGATATGTTTTGATAATTAAATATTTATTTTTAAAATTATTTATAGATAGGTTCATGGTGATTGTGTGTGTGTTTCATTCTTTTACTCTTTTTTTTTTAATTTATGATCCCTAAACTTTTGTTCTTTAAAAACTAAAAATAAGTAATTGGCGAGTATTAATTTTTTTAAAATATTTTTTGTTATATATAATTTTTAGGATCTTAATTATTTAGATAGTTTTTAAATTTTTAATCATGAATTAATATTTAATTTTTAAAATGAGACTATATTTTATAAATGCTTATACAACAATACATAAATAATTTAACATTATGTAAGCACTTATTAACAAAACATAAATAGTTTATTGAATTTAAAAACTCATAACATAAGTTTTTGTATAATAAAAATTTATTGAAATAAAATTTTAATTAAGTTGTTTTTTTTTCAAACGGACCTCAAAATTTCTTTGGCAATCAATTATATATATTTTAGAGTGTGTAATAATTGTTCTTAATTAATTACATACATTTAATTAATCTATTAGATAGCTTTTTAATTCTACGTACTAGCAATGGAGATAATCAGTATTACATGTTCATTTTAATACTGTAGGTTATTTTGAATCGATTATATCATGCTTTTAATCAATTACGTGTTCATTTTAATTGACTATCCCTTGAAACAGATTAATTATGATTTGATGTTATTGGTTTGCATTTCATTTTAAATGAATCTGATTTGCTTTTAATTAATTTTTAATAACATTTAATTCAATTATGTACACATATATCCTTTTCATATATTTGATTTGATTTTGTCACTTTAATGGTTATATATATATATAATTTTATTTTTTTTTAATTTTTTTAGGGGTATGGTTATATATTTTATTAAACAGTAGACTCTAGATAGTATGTGCATCAAATAAAATCATTATATTTTGCAATCTTTAGTATTGTTATGTAATCCATTAATTATTTACTTTTTTTATCGTAATTATTTTTTACTATTAATTAAATTATAACATTTACTTGTTACGTTCTTATTAATCGATTATATACAGTGCAATCGATTAAATATATATTATTACGTTAGTCAATTACATAAGGATAAAATAAATCTTTATATTATATTTATAACAATTAATTTTGAATTATCTAATTTAATTATACGTAAATTGTAAGTTTATTTGTGTATTGTTGTTAATGTTATTGTTTTAGAACTTTAGAGTTAAGTTATTTTGAGATAATTTTAAATATAGTTAAGTTGATTCAGTTCTAGGAAGGGTATATAATTTTTTCCTCATGAACTTCATAAATTTATATTTTAAGAAACTCTAGTGAAAAGTTAGAAAGAAATTCTATAAACCAAATCTACTTATCCCTCTTTTAGATTGAAAATTCTTCCTTTTCTACCTTTCAATAGTTGAATTAACTTTATTAATTGAACCAGGAGATCCAAGCTTGAGGAGCTGAAGACCTTGAGTCAGAATCGTGTAAAGATTCTTCTCATTCGTCTTTTCTTCTCCTTGGAACAACTAGAGATAAGGGAAACTTGTTTTTGAATTATTATTGATGTATGATGAATTGTTGGTGCCTAGAATCATTAGTCTAGGGTTGTTATTGTTTGAAAATTAGGGGTTGAAGATTGATGAAGTTGAGTTTTCTTAAAGTGTTGCTTATGAAGAATAGTCGATGATTCTTTCAAATTGTTGGTTGCATGTGTCTTTTGAAGTTACTTTTGAGTTAAATATGATGTATGGATGTTATATTCCTTGTTGCATGTTGGTAAGTTGTTTATTTTTAGGTGGATTGACTGAATTTAATTTCTATGTGTACGGGATAGGAACCCCGTTGACTCGGTCAAAGGCCGGATACGACAAAACCGAAGGGATACCCTCACACCCCTCCGTCCAGAAATCAAACTTGGAACCCTCGAACACCATCTCGGTTATGAACTTGGCCGAACACCATCTCGGCCGTGGACCAGGCCGAGCACCAGCTCCTCCAGGGAACAAAACAGTACCTCCTAAATCCAATCATGAGCAGTCACTATAAAGCCGAACACCCTCTCGGCCGTGGACCAAGCCGAACACCCTCTCGGCCGTGGACCAAGCCGAACACCCTCTCGGCCGTGGGTCAGACTGAGCACCCTCTCGGCCATGGACCAGGCCGAGCACCATCTTGGCCATGGACCAAACCAAACATTCACTCGGCCCCTGACCAGGCCGAACCCCTTTTCGGCCTCAGGCCAGGCCGAATACCTCGTCGGCTTCAGGCTCGACCGAAGGACCCGACAAGAGGGGAATTCACTCAAAACACGTGGCTAGTCAAATGCCTATTATGCATTAATTAACATGCCAAATTAAGACAGGATTAAGGCTAAGTCATGTATTACCCATCTCCCAAAGTTGAAGGCCCATCAGGCCCACATATGTCACTATAAATGTACAGGTGATGTGACATAAATGAGGTACGTTACTATTCCTTCTAACGCATTTATTGCTCTGAACCGAACACTGACTTGATCATCGGAGTGCCTTTTCAGGTACCCTCCCCCACCACTCGGAGCTAGTGTCCGGTCGGCACGGAAGACTTAGAAAGACTTGGAGGCAGTTAGGAAGGAACAAGGAGAGGAGTGTTCTTACGCAGGAACATGGCGCCCACCGTGGGGCCGAAACCATAACGGTTCTCGACCCTAAAGCAAGATGGTAACCACAAGAAGTCAACAGGAAAACGCGACCGATTATCCTTTCGGGATGCCCCGAGGCACCCCCAGACAGCAAACTAATCAGAACGACGGAATGGAGGAATCATACGTGGATCGGTCTCAACAGCCTAACCCCTCATCGGCACTCGAACAACTGAAGGCCGAAATGATGGAACTCAGGAGGCTCCGAGAAAAGGACGCTCACGAATTATCGGCCCTGAGAAGAGAGAACGCTGAGCTCAGGAGCGATAATAGGACATGGCACCCCTCGCACGACGTACAGAATCAATCAACCCGGGATCAGGGCGAATCCTCAGGATGGTACAAGGAAGTTAACATCCCTCGACCATCGGGCATACCGACTACCGCAACGCAAGATCAACAACGACGGCAGGGAAGAACGCCGTTCACACCAGACATTGCCGGGGTTCGTTTGCCCGATAATTGGAAGAACTTGACCGTGGAAAAGTACGATGGAACCTCCGACCCGGAAGAACATCTCGACGCGTTCGTCACACAGGTCGGTCTGTACACCGACGACGATGCAATCATGTGTAAAGTCTTCCCTACTTCGTTGAAAGGACCAGCGCTTAATTGGTTCACACGACTCCCTCCCGGATCAATTGATTCGTTCACATCCCTGTCCTCTCGTTTCGTAATACAGTTTGCCACGAGTCGGCCTCATCAGCTGACATCCATTGCGTTGGTCAGTATACGCCAAGAGAAGAAAGAACCATTGAGGGCTTTCATGGAGAGGTTCGGGAAAATGACGTTGTCTATTCGGAATTTGGATCCGGCCGTAGCAATGCATCACCTCACCACAGCGCTGCGGCCTGGGCCCTTTGTCAATAGCTTGTGCAAAAAGCCCCCCCATGACCTGGACGACCTACGGCAAATGGCCACCAAATCTATGCAGATGGAGGAACTGGCCGAGTTCCGCAACCAAAACCGATCTGACCTGTTTCTCGGCAAAAGAGAGAATGACAAGGAACCTCCTAAGTCTCGACCCCGGGAAGCCAATGATCGTGAGAAGAGTAATCACAGAGGTCCGAGGTATATGCAGTATACGCCACTCAACGCTAGCAGGGCCAAAGTGTTGGAGCAAGCTCTAGCCAAGGAAGTTTTGGCCGTTCCTCGAAGAGCTTTGACTCCACCTCACGCCGACAAGACAAAAGCATGTCAATTCCATCGGAATAGAGGACACACCACGGAGGAGTGCTCCGCCCTTCGAGACCGTATCGAAGATCTCGTTAAGGCCGGTCACCTCCAAAACTTCATTCGGATAACGGATAACAGAAGAAACGACTACCGCCACGAAAGAGGGGAACCTAGGGGAGACAACCGAGATCGAGCACCGCCCCAGAACCGATCTCGCGAGCGTAGCAGGTCTCAAGAAGGAAACGACCAACGAAACCGCAATCAGCCCAGACGAGTCATAAACACCATTGTTGGAGGTTTCGCAGGGGGGGAGCTCATCTTCAGCCCGGAAGAGACACTTGAGGGCTGTCAAGTCGGTCAACGCTATAGGACGAACACTTCCCGTTCGTATGCCCCTTATAACGTTCACTGACCGAGACTTCCACGGTATTGACCCGGTGCAAGACGACCTAATGGTCATCACCGTGGAAATCAACAATTGTCTCGTAAAAAAGACTCTGGTAGATCAGGGAAGTTCGGCCGACATCTTATACTGGAAGACGTTTGAGCAATTGGGGATTCCAGAACAAGAGCTCACGCCTTATAACGAGCCTTTGGCAGGGTTTTCGGGCGAAAGGGTGGACACTCGGGGAACCATAGACCTATACACCTACTTCGGAGAAGACCAACGCAGGCGGATCAAGGTGCGTTACGTGGTGGTGCAGGCCAACACATCGTACAACATTCTGTTGGGCAGACCCTCTCTGAACAAACTCCGAGCCATCGTATCCACCCCTCACTTAACCATGAAATTCCCGTCGGAGGAAGGGACCGTCATTGCTGTACATGCGGACCAGAAGACAGCGCGCGAATGTTACTTCGCCAGCTTAAAAATAGAGCCAATGTCGAAGCCAGGACGAGACGTGAACGTTATCGGCGACGTCGGCAAACAAAAGTTAGAAGGCTTGGAACTTGATCCGAGGTTGGAAGTGGAAGATAGGGTTGAACCTATTGAGACAACAGTCCCCTTCCAACTCGGAAAGATTGAAGGACAGGTTACCTTTTTAAGTTCTCAATTATCCGAAGCAGAAGCTAAAGATATCAAACAAGTCCTGAAGAAATATTCAGATCTATTTGCTTGGACGGCAGCGGATATGCCGGGCATTGATCCAAATTTTCATTGCCATCGTCTCTCGGTATGCCGAGACGCCAAGCCTGTCGCCCAAAAGAAAAGAAAAATGGGCGGAGAGAAAGCCCAGGCAATAAAGGAGGAAACCGCCAAGTTACTCCAGGCAAGATTCATAAGAGAAGTCAAGTATTCCACTTGGTTGGCCAACGTAGTGATGGTCAAAAAGGCCAATGGGAAATGACGAATGTGTACAGACTACACGGATCTGAACAAGGCGTGCCCCAAAGACGCCTATCCTCTGCCTCACATTGATGCATTGGTGGACGGCGCAGCTGGCCATCACAGATTAAGTTTCCTGGATGCTTACTCGGGGTATAATCAAATACCCATGTACTCACCGGACGAAGAAAAAACGGCATTTATCACCGATTCGGCAAACTTCTGTTACAAGGTGATGCCCTTCGGTCTGAGAAACGCCGGTGCCACTTACCAGAGACTCTTGGACAAAATCTTCCGCCACCAGATAGGGACATGTATGGAAGTGTACGTGGATGACATGGTCATCAAATCCACTTCAGCCGGTGATCATTTGAAAGATCTAAGCACGATCTTTGAAGAAGTAAGGTGGCACCGTATGCGATTAAACCCGGCGAAGTGCACCTTCGGGGTGGCCGGGGGAAAATTCTTAGGATTCATGTTGTCCAAAAGGGGAATAGAAGCCAACCCCGATAAGTGTCAGGCGATTATCAACATGCAAAGTCCCCGCAACATAAAAGAAGTACAGCGTCTAGTCGGACGCATAGCCTCTTTAGCTCGTTTTCTCCCCTGCATGGCCGAGAAGTCAAGGCCTATAATGTCCCTATTGAAAAAAGCTACCAAGTTTCAATGGAACGAGGAATGCGAGATAGCTTTTCAAAACTTCAAGACAACGCGGATGGCTCCACCGCTGTTGAGCAAGCCGGACCCTAGCTTGGACATGATAATCTACATATCAGTATCAGACAAAGCTATCAGTACTGTGTTGGCGCAGGAAAAAACCGAGCAAATGCCTGTGTACTTCATCAGCCGAGTCCTGCAAGACGCCGAGACGAGGTACCAACATCTCGAGAAAACGGTCTTGGCCCTCGTACATACTGCCAGGCACCTTCGACATTATTTTCAGAGCCATCGGGTGCTTGTTCGAACGGACAGTCCGGTAACTAAGGTCCTGCGAAGGCCAGAGTTGGCAGGACGAATGGTCGCTTGGTCTATAGAATTGTCCCAGTTTGATATTCGCTTCGAGCCTAGGGGACCCATCAAGGCACAAAGCTTGGCGGATTTCTTGAACGAGTTCACACCCCAAGAGATCCCCGATTCTCACCTGTGGACCTTGCATGTAGATGGGTCATCTAACCATCAAGGCAGTGGTGCCGACATTATTTTAGAGGGGCCTGGTCAAGTGGTGATTGAACAGTCCCTACGTTTCGGTTTCAAGGCATCGAATAATCAAGCCGAATACGAGGCCCTTCTGGCAGGCCTACGGTTGGCAAAGGACTTAGGCATCCCTAAAGTGCGGTGTTGGAGCGACTCGAAAGTGGTAACAGAGCAGGTCAACGGTACTTTTCAAATCAAAGAACCGACGCTTTTACTATACTTTCACGCGTTCAATAAGCTGAAAGCAGATTTTGAAGATGTCCAAGTCAAACACACGCCTCGAGAACTCAACATGAGAGCCGATCAGTTGGCCAGGCTAGCTAGCAGCAAGAAGGTTAGCCATTTGCGCAGCATGATACAGCAAGAATTGCCTAAACCAAGTATCACACAGGCCGAGTGTCTACAAATTCAGCAGGAAACGCCCAATTGGATGACGGGGATAATAGAATACCTAACAGCCGGGTCGCTACACATCGACCCATTGGAAGCAAAGAAGATGAAAGTCTTGGCCGCCCGATACACCCTAATCGCTGGAGAATTGTACAAAAGGGGGTTCTCGTCACCTTTGTTGAAATGTTTGGCACCGGATCAAGCACACTATGTAATTCGAGAAATCTATGAAGGCGTATGTGGAACCCATTCGGGAAGCCGAACCCTAGCGGCCAAAGTCGTCAGGGCGGGATATTATTGGCCCACTCTAATGGCGGATTGCTCAAAGTATGTTCAACAATGCAAGCCCTGCCAACAGCACGGACCATTGACACATCAACCACTCGAGGAGTTACACTCCATCACCACCCCCTGGCCATTTTCTATTTGGGGCATGGACATTTTGGGACCTTTCCCACCAGCGAAAGGCCAAGTCAAGTTTCTCCTCGTGGCCGTCGACCACTTCACCAAATAGATTGAGGCAGAACCAGTGGCTACCATCACGGCTAACAACGTCCAAAAATTCTTTTGGAAGAATGTCATTACTCGTTTCGGAATCCCATATGCTTTGATCACGGATAATGGTTTGCAATTCATCGACCTCCGTTTCAACGAGTTTTTAACGGAGCTGGGTATCAAGCACAAAATGACCTCGGTAGAGCACCCCCAATCAAATGGGCAGGCCGAAGCGGCAAACAAAGTTATCCTTAAAGAACTAAAACGGCGCCTCGGACAAGCTAAGGGGGCATGGCCCGAGCATTTGCCAGAAATCTTGTGGGCTTACCGTTGTACTCCGCAAAGCTCGACTCGGGAGACCCCCTTTCGGCTTACTTACGGTACAGATGCCATGATTCCGGTAGAGGTAGGAGAACCATCACTAAGACGAACAATGTTCAACAACCAGATCAACGAGGAAGCCCTAAACGTGGAACTCGACCTAGTGGAAGAAGCACGCGATCAAGCCCTCATCATGATGGAAGCTTGTCGAGCCAGGTTGTCCACAAAACACCGAACCAAGGTCAAGTCTCGTGAATTTCAAACCGGCGACTTAGTCTGGCGAGTCACGGGAGAGGCGCGAAAAGACAAGGCTCAGGGGAAGCTGGCACCGAATTGGGACGGCCCCTACCGCATAATGCACAACTTGCAGAATGGAGCATACAAGCTAGAAGAACTCTCAGGAAAATCCATTCCACGAACATGGAATGCAACGCACTTGAAGCATTATTTTAGTTAGAATATAATGTATTTGTTTCGGTGTACTCTTTTCCTTGTCCCAGGTTTTCTCCTCTTAAAAGAATGTGAAAAGAGGTTTTCCTGAGAAAAGGTTTTTAATGAGGCACCATATCAATGAAACAAGCCCCTTATTTTTCAGACATCTTTACTCAATTTAATCTCAAACCTTCAACCTCCCTCCCGAGATTTCTCTCGGCCAAGGTTGAGCATAACTTCCCTCCCGAGATCTCTCTCGTCAAGGTTGAACGTAAAGTCTCCCTCCCGAGATTCCTCTCGGCCAAGGTTGAGCATAGTCTCTCTCCCGAGATTTCTCTCGGCCAAGGTTGAGCATAACCTCCCTCCCAAGATTCCTCTCGGCCAAGGTTGAGCATAGTCTCCCTCCCGAGATTTCTCTCGGCCAAGGTTGAGCATAACCTCCCTCCCGAGATCTCTCTCGGCCAAGGTAGAACGTAGTTTCCCTCCCGAGATTCCTCTCGGCCAAGGTTGATCATAATCTCCCTCCCGAGATCTCTCTCGGCCAAGGTTGAATACGATGTTTACCTCCCGAGATTCCTCTCGGCCAAGGTTGAACGTCAAGTCTCCCTCCCGAGAACCCTCTCGGCCAAGGTAGAATGTAGTTTCCTTCCCGAGATCTCTCGGTCGAAATTGAACAACTTACATTGAACTTAAGTTCCCTCTACTCGGGATCCCAATGGCCGAAGCCTTTTCTCCCGAGATACACTAACGACCAAAGTTTAATTAGTGAGTTCTTGACCGACTAACCCACGACAAAGAAGTTCACTTACATGACCTAAAACATTCCCGGTCATCCCTCTCGGCCAAAAAAGGAAAACGTCTAGACGATCCTAACACCTACAAAACAAGAAAAGCTGCATACAAAGGCGCGCAACAGAAAATAAAACATAATCCGAATAGGGGGCAAAGCAATTCATTAAGACTCAAGGTCAACGCGGCACTATCGGCCGAGGGGTACAAGCAAGGATGGCTCTAACGGCCCAAAAGGAATCATAAGCAAAAAATAATATACCCTAAATTTGTACATCTTAAACAAAACAGATGCATCCTCAAAAGACAAAAGGTCGCGGCATCCCTCAATCGGCATTGCCGGTCTGCTCGGTCTCCTCATCATCATCGTTGAAGGTGGTGTCGGGGTCTTCAGGGGCCGCTAAGCGAGGAGGAGCGGCTTGATCAGGCTCGGCATCGGGGTCGGCCTCGGCATAGTCCATGTA